AAGTTTGGTTGGAGTGGCTTATTTGGAAGGGATGCCGAGAGTAAAGAAGATTCTGGCATGGGAACAGGGTGCCACTGCAGCCCCTTTGATGGGAGCACAACAGGGGTTGCTTTTCCTACATGTGAATGTCTGACTGAGCAAGGGGATTAACAGGGGCAGAAGTTCAGAATTTGGTCATTGCAAAGCCAGGAAATAATTTCTTAGTCCTTACCAGTAGCAGTCTGGATGAATCTTCACTTTTAAGACATACCAGTTGCAATACATTTTAAAATTACCCTTAGAAGTGAGTGTACACCTGCCACTTCACAGTCTAAGTTGAAAATAACTGTTTCTTTCATATTGAATTGAAATAATTAGATTTGCATTATTCGGTAGTCTGGGAAATTCATAAACAGCTCATTTGTAACATATACAGATCTGAAAAAAGTCACCTTTCTTAATAAGCTAATAGGTACAACTATAAATGCACATTATCAGTATATTACTAAGAAATTCACAGAAATATCTGACTCCTTTTGCTTCTCATATTCTTTTGGAACAGAATTCTACATTTTTGATGAATGGCATCTTTGATGAATTGTCTGACCAGTGCAAAACCTTTGAGAAAAATGTGTATTCCAAACTGTTACCTCAGTCTTCTCCTTAAGGAAGAGAATATTAAAACTTTAACAATACACAGGACTACAATTTTTCCCTGAGAGCAAATTCTGCTGGAACCAGCATGTGCAATCAAAATCTTTCTTAGTGTGAAGTGAAGCCATGAAAGGATCTTTGCAGCTTCTTTCTGTGGAAGTTGTTTCTTCCTCAGGAGACAGGGAACAGCAGATGCTGATTGACCCCTCAAGGGAAGAGCAGATGAAGTGGGAACAGCTACTTAGAACTCCCTGCACTTAAATACTAAAGCATGAACAGTTCAGCAAGAGGAGTACAGACAGATATTAGTGTGGTGTGAAGTCTAGAGGAGCTGCAGCCTAGGAAAAGAAAATGAAGATGTAAATCTTGGCATGAAAGGGTGTTGGAAAGCAAGGATTTATTCCAGCAGTGTTGGGAGGGAATAAGGGCTGCTCCACCAGGTGAGTGCATTGTAGTACAGAACAAGGACAGGTCTTGGTGTAAAGGACAGACTATTGTCTTATTCTCAGCAGAAGGCTCTAGAAAAAGTAATTCTTGGTAAAAGCAAAGTCGCTGAAGGAGTAGAAGAAAAGGGTATCATTCAGTGATACTTCTTGGATTGGATTGTATTATAAATTACCAGTGTTTGTTTATGCCCATATGAGAAGGAAGGGAACTGATTACATCAAGAAGAGCAATTTGTTGTACCTTCCCTTGCTTAGGTACAATAAAATGTTCAGATGCAGAGGGTTCCTTGCTAAAAGTTGCAGAGTAGTATTTATCTCTCATAGATTTTTTTCAAGAAAATACAGCAGAACTGGAAACTCGAAGCTTGAGTGTAAACCTGCAGTAATCCACTGTCAGAAGAATTGTGTAGGTGTATAAAACTGATTTCAAAGGGAATGAAGAGGTGTGACTTGTGAATTGCTACTTTTTAAAGATAAAAAATTAGTTCACATGTAGGTCATGTTAAAAAAGGAAAGTAATTTTTGGTCCTTATCTCTTTATTATGCACATTTTTATAGATTTTTTTGGTTGCCTGTAGCCTTTCTTCTATTTTAAATATTCTCAAGATTTTATTGAGATAAAAATGTTAAGAGATGTAATAATACTGATATATCAAGTGATTTAGCATTAGAAAAGACAGATTTTCAGTGGCCATTTGAAAACAAGGCTTGATGTGTTATGTCAATCCAAAACTAAATCTATGCAGTTGAGCCTTGAGCACTTGTGTTTGTAATGTATAAAATTGTTCTTTTAAAGCTGTCTCTGTCTTGTGTCCCTTCCTCTCCAGCCCAGTCCCTTTGTCCTGAGCTGTACTGTGACCCCATTGCACCATTCACCTCCAGAGGATCCACTTCCCCAGGGATGGATCCTGGTCCCTGTGCTGTATCAGCCAGGAGAGGAGAAGGACAGACCCTGCTGTCACCAAGGTCACCCCAAATCTCTCCTGAGCCTCGTCCAAAAAGGTTCTGGAATTTACAGTTCCTTATGACAGGACACTTCTTCTGGTATTGTCATGAGCATTTTAAAATGTTATCAGACAATAATTGCTATCACAACTTTTAATTCTGTGTTTCTGTTTCAAATTTTCCTCAGTTCAATCAGAACCAAAAGTTAATGCCCGTTGGCTAATTTCCAGTGCATGCCTCCACAGAACAACTGCTGCCTTTAACTGGTGGAGAGATCAAGGCTTGAACTGACAAAAGACATCTGTATTTTGGAAAACAAATTAATGTTTATGTTTTAATTTATAAGTTCCTGGCTCTTTTATGGTTCCTGTTTTTCAAGTAATGTCTCTTTGGATCCCTAGCTGATGGAGAGTCAAAATGGAAAAGGCCCATGAGAGAATTATCACAATAGAACATCTGGTCTGCATTGGAAAAAGCTGAGAAAGATATTCAACATCTCTGAGACTGAGGCAGCCATGAGGCAGATTGAAAGTCAGTCCATGAAAAATTGTGCAGGTTGTGGCCACCTGGGCCAATCTAGTGTTGTTTTGGGAAGAGCTACTCTGCTCATGAGCATCTGAATTTTAATCTCCCTTGAGCGTGGATATGTGAGAGCTGGGAGTGGTATGAAAGGTGTTTGCTTTCCATAATGTTAATCTGAGTCCCAGCATTGTCCTAATTACATTGTGGGTTTTTGCCAGTCTCCCAGATTTTTTTTTGAGCACGTAGGCTGGAGTCAAAAGGCTTTCCCAGGGCTTTTGGCATAGCTTTACAGGAAAGTGGATGGAAAGGACTTTGTATATTTTTGCAAGAATATTTTGCATCCTGCTTCAAACTATTCCAGAAGGTAAAAGGACATTAGCTAGACTGTGTTGGCTCATGTACTGCTATGTCACTAATGAGAAGGAGTTTTATTCCTGTTTTCTGCAGTCACAGACTGTAAGAAATGCAAAGAAATCATGGACCAACCAGGGCAGTAAAGGTACCCCTGGATTCAGAGGGAACAAACTCCTTCCACCACATGGAACTTTGGTCCTTTAAGTCATTATAGCTCATGCAGAACAGAAACAATTTGACATGTATAACAAGAAACATTGCAAATTGTTTGCCAAACAAAGACTTATACTGCAGATGGAAGAACTGATGAAAATTGTTTATAGATGGGGAGCTAAATGTAGATTTTTCAAGAACAAGGTTGCTGTCTTCCTTGCCAAGACAAACAAATCTGATAGACCATCTCATTGCTTTAGGCTGCCTGAGGACCCACTGGAAGGTCTATGGACCTTTTTCCACAGAAAATTTGTGTATTGTCAATACATAAGTGTATTGTCCACAGTTACACTGTGGCAGCTGCAGAGGAAGTGGAAGGTTCTCAGGAATACATTAGGGAGAACTGGATTTTTGGCTTCTGAAACAGTGTGGAGTGCTTTTGGAAACTGTGGAAGTTTATAAGCTGGATGTTACTGCTACAAAAGGTTATCTGTGAGTAAAATATAATACTAATTAATCTGCTATCTTTGGATCTTAACACTAACAACACAATGAAATTGAGAATTCCTGTCTTCTAGAATTGCAGTTTCCAAGGTGCCTTTATTCCTGTGAACATGCCCTGGTCTGCATTTAGAGATTTTCAGTTACCTTTAGAAATCTGTGCACAGATGTTTTTGCAAAGCACTGTGTAATCATCCCAAACAATGGTTTTAATGGGCCAGTTATTTAGGAAATCATGTAATGAGAACATAAATACAATCCCTGATACTGACATAAAACATGTATTAGCAAAATGATATAGTTTGTATTTCCTTGATATAGAGCAGACCCTGGAAATACATAACTCATCATGTCCTTAAAATTCTGTTATATCTGTAAACATCTATATTGGCAGAGAGACCCAGCAGCATCCTGGGCTGCATTAGGAAGAGCAGTGCTAGGAAGTCAAAGGAGGTGATCATTGCCCTTTGCCTAGCACTGGTGAGGCTCCAGTGGGAGTGCTGTGCCCAGTTCAGGGCTCCCCACAGCAGGAAGGACGTGGACATGCTGGAGGAAGGGCAGGAAAGGACCATGAGGGTGGACAAGAGGAACATCTGTCCTGTGGCTGCCCAGGGAGATTTTGAAGTTGACATCATTGAAGAAACTCCAAACTCAGCTGAGCAAGGTCCCGAGCACCCTGCCCTGGGTGATCCAGCTCTGAGCTGGGCTTGGGCTGAGTGATCTCTGGAGATGCTTCCAGACTGGGAATATTTGAGGCAGTTTGCTTGTGTCTTGTCAGTGTTTTAGCTGCAACTCAACTGTGGAGGAATCCTGAGGAGAGCAAAGGCTGTGACCCCAGAATTTCATCCAGATGGCTGAGGCCCAGAAAAGGCATAATGGGAGCTGCTAAGTACTCTGAATGTCTCATCAGAGTGATATTTCACTTGAAAATACAAAATAGAAATTACTTGGGTCTTAATGACACTGAATACCCATAATGTTCTCTCACTTCAGCTGGACTGCAGATGGTAACCTCTCTCTATCTGAACATGTTTATTTTAGTTTAATCTTGCTCTGTACAATCTTAACATATATTTTACTCTAGAAATTAATACTTGGTGCTTTACAGTGCAGAATTTATTTGCTTGTTTGTTCCACACTTTTTTTTCCTTGATATTAACAAATTATAATCTACTTTGACATATTACTTCAGTAATAAGCACATACTATGTCTCAAGGAGTTGAAAATATCCTAATTTGATCAAGGTAAAATCAAAATACATCATTACATTGCATATTCTATGGCACTTAGTTTGTAGCTGTTCTTACAGTACCTTCAAAATAAGAAAGAAGATGAAATTCAAAAAGGGCTTTCATAGTTTAAAAATATTTATGTTGAAACAAGATTTATGTTGAAAGGCAAAGATAATTTTTTTTAATCATCTGCATAGTGGTAGAAAAATTTACCTGTGGTTTCTCTTTACGAAAAGGAGCTAACTTGCAGTATTGAGAATTCCCAGGTCCTTCTTCTTTTGAAAAGTCTTTGTCTTTTATGTTGCCTCTTAAGGAAAAAGGAAAGCACACTGAAAAACAAGAAATTGAGCAACATTGAACAAGTAATTAGGTAATAAAGATTATAAAACATTTTATTTTGGTTTTGCCCTTCAGCAAGTGAAACAATAAGTAAATAACCTGTTTCTTTATTATCAATATATGGAGTTACATTGGGTCTGACAGACCAAGGCATAAATGTATAAATGTATAAATGACACCTGTGATAATTATTAGAGGACATCAGATTTTCCTGGGGATGAGCCCATTGTGAAACCACAAAATTAAGACTTCAGAAGAAAATAGCACATGAAGGTCAAATGTACTTAGTCATTGGTTCAGCAACCAATTTCTCTGCACCACTTTCCCCTGCCTTAATGCTTTTACAGCACATCTCTGATTCAGTCTCCTCTGTCCTGTGTGGGATGGGGCTTTTGGGGGGAGAGTATTACTTTAAATTGACACCTCTAGCAGCAGTTCCTACTTGTACTGGTTTCCTTTTATAAATGTGTAACCTATTATATCTATCCAAGCCTGGCTGAGCTCCAAGCCACCCATTTCTCAGTAATACAGGAAATTAAATCTAATGTCTAATAAGCCTACTTGTACTGGTTTCCTTTTATAAATGTGTAACCTATTATATCTATCCAAGCCTGGCTGAGCTCCAAGCCACCCATTTCTCAGGAAATTAAATCTAATGTCTAATAAGTGTAGAGGCTTATGCAACCTTCATTCCCTGTAAAAAGTATTAAATAACATAATAATATTACCTTGTCTTTTGATTGCTAGAGAGCTGTGCACTTAGTTTTTATGTAGACTAAACTGGCTCTGCATTTGGGATTGAAGAGTCTGGGTTTATCCATCCTTTTTTCTGACTTACTGAATTTCACCTGGAAAATTCTCTTATTAAAGCACCCCCTGAAATGTTCCTGTGTAGGGTTTGGTCCCTTTCTCCACTCCTCCCTTTGTTCCCACAGAGGGCTGTGTCCCCCATGATCTCATCCTGGGGGTGCTGCTGCTTCATTCTCTGTCCCCTGGGATTTCCAGCCTGAGCAGATTTCTGCCACAGAGGGCTGTGTCCCCCATGATCTCATTCTCTGTCCCCTGGGATTTTCCAGCCTGAGCAGATTTCTGTCTGTTCCATCCCATTTTCTGATAATACCCACCACAGCTCTGTGTCAGGTGGTGCAGCCTTTAAAAATGCAGAACTCTGACTTTAGGCCATACAGGTTAGCAACATAATTTCAGGGCTTTCTTTCCGGCGTGTGCCAGTTCAGTAAGTGGATTTATACTGAATAATTTTAAACTGTTACAGCCCTCTGAAATAATTTCTCTCTTGCTGCTGTAATACATAAAGTAGCATAAGGTCACTGATGCTGTGGAAATTGGTTTTGGAGTTGATATGCTAATTCAGCAAGAAATCAGTTCTAGCAGAAATGCAAAGATAATTATTTTAATCTAGTGCCATGCTACTTTGTTGGCTTTTAGGAAAGAGATAATTAAAATATTCAAGGGAGTTCCAAGTCTGTGGAAAAAGTACCATTTTGGAGATTTAAGGTTATTTTTGCCTCACAGTTTATTAGCTTCTTCTCTGAAAGCAAATAAGCTGAATGTGCTGGACACAAGTATGACATTTTCACATGCTCAAAAAAAAAAAAAGAAATAAGATTTTTTTAAACTGAGTTCTGTATAAGAATACACTCGGTTCAGTCTTTTCTGTGTCACTCACCCCATGTTTACAGTAACTGCTCCTACAATTCTGTGGATAAAAACTTCCATGCAGATACATCCAGAGCCATTAATGAGGATGCACTATGCAACTAATTGCAATGGGGAACAAAATTACATTAATGGTGCCTAAGGAGAAAGAGAATCTCTGCACTCAGTGTGAGTAAGGGGTAGCCAATGCCTGATTTTTTTCCACAACAAATATTTAAGTTGAATTGAAAACAGTAGTTGATCTCTGAGAATAATCACTAAGAGTTTAAAAGTCCTATTTTTTTTTCAAAATCCTGCACTTATACTAAGGAATTTCCAAGCACAAAAAATAAAATAACTTTAATGCTTACTGTGTGAATATGCCAAAGGAAAAAAAAATTAGCAGCATAAACTCTTTCATCTTTTTGAGATGAAGAACAGAGAAAATAAAAATGCATTTCTAAAAAACATTTTTTAAATATCTGAATTGTAAATGTAGTGCTGCCATTGTCATATTTTAAAAGGTATTTTAATTTTATAATAAAGAAAAAAAAGATGACATTTTACTCTCTGTTCTTTCCTAAAACAGGTGCAATGCTGCTGTTTGCAGAGGAAGGACACCAGCTGCAGCAAGAGTAGTGTCTGTTCTAGAGTGAGGGATGAGCTCCACTGGGCATGAGTTGGCTTCCCTGGCTGCAGTGCTCAGTATTTCATTTTAGCAAGTCTGACATTGCTCCAAGTCTTCATCTCCTCCTGCACTTTACGCTACTGCAAGAGCAGGTTGTATGCTATTGAAGAGAGAGAAATAGAAAGTGCAATTGAGTGTTTTATTTCATGCTCCCCAAGTTTACTCAGACACACCCAGAGAGAATGTGTGCTGCACTCAACTTGGAGATCTTGTGTTAGAAATCCTGGCTCCCCTGTGCTTTCCTGCTTTGCCTGTGGCTGATAAGAGAGTTCATAACAGGAACCCCTGTTACCTCAGCTGCAAAAGGTTCTGAGAATCAAATGGCCAAGAGAGTGGAATTTAAATTTATTTTTGTTTGTCTTGTGTTTCAGCAAGCATTTAAAAGATCCTCCAGTTTATCTCTGTCAGAGGTTGTTTTCCTTTTGGCTTAGCTTGGACACCAGTCTTGCTGTTGAGTTTACATTTATGGAGTGGGACACAAAGTTTTCTCCAAGCATTCAGTGTTCTGATTTTAACTTTGCAAGTCTTGTTGCTTGGGATAGGTGTAAAAGTCATGTCTGCATGTACAGCAAGAACAGAACTGGGGTGTGGATGCTGCTGTTTAGTCAATTGAGAAGGAACAAAAGTAATCCTGAAGGCTGCCTCTCCTCTTGGCTGGCAGGCAGAAGAGTTGGTAAAAGCTGCAAAGACAACTGAGCACACTAATGATGGTATTTATTCTACATTTTATTTCTTAGGGGGATTTTGAGGGCTAGTTTCTAAAATGTAGTTATTTTACTCTCCTTTGCAAACCATGTGTGACCACAGCTGTTTTTCCAAAATGCCTGGTTTACTTGCTGTTGTTGCCACCAGTCGAGTTCTCACTCCACATAGCAATGTCCACAAGGTGGTGCCACAGCTAAGAAGTTTGCAACAAATAAGGCAAAAGTAATTTGATAATTCTGTCTGCTTTTTGTAACTGACTAAAGTAGCTGCATCATTAAAGAATTAATAATTATTTCATAAGCCAGATATCACAGGTTTGCAAGGTCTTTTTTTAAACCACTTGTGTGAGCGAAGGTGGGCCTGTCTGCTGAGCAAGAGCAGCATCCACAAGCCTGTGACTATCCCAAATCCTGTACAGAAATAAAGAGGCAGCTCAGGGTTTAGCAGACAGGCTGATGAAGAGCTGTGTATTTCCTAGCAGGATTACCTGTGCCAACACTGGCACGTGTCTTATGTTTTTATCTGATCATTTCAGCAGGAATCAACCTGAATCCTGACAAGTAGAAAAGTTCATCCACAACTTCAGCCAAGACAGCTTCTACCCTAGAGTGGCTATGGCACATCAGACCCAAATTTCCTGAGTTTTTCCTAGAGCCAGGGATAGCCAGGCTCCCTGTCCTGTGCTAATCTACAGCTGACTGTTAATTCCAAAGGGTGTCAAGTGCTTACAGAGGGACCTGCACTGATGCTCAAGTTTCCAAGCATCTTTCTAGAAAAGATCAGACTAGAGAAGGTGCAAGGCAGTAACAGGGAGTGGAAGATGTCACGTGTCCAGTACAGAAAAGACAATAAAACTTCCAGGGAAAAGTTGTTTGTAAGGATCTGGATGACTTCTGTATGTCCCAGAAGAGCTGAAGTGCAGCAGGACTTGCCCATGCCCCTGAGAAGGTGTGTGTCAGTTCTTCAGCTACCCTTGGCCACATGGTGCTTCTTGCACCCCTCAGTGGCCTCTGCAATCCAGGTATTTGTGCTAGCACAAGAAATACTCCCTGTCAGCTTCTGCAGTGGACAAATGAAGTTTGAATCATTTGTTCATTACATATTTTTGTACCAAAAGCAGGAAGAAAAAGGAATACCTTAAAATACTATTCAGACAAGTAGTGCATTGACTTGCCTCCAGCTAGAATCTCTCTTTGGTAGGCCTGTATCAGAAAGAGAAAAATAACAGGGTTTGCATAATGTTTCCTCTAAATTGCTACATTATTATTTTAAAACATACTAAAAGTCTTCTGGCTAGTAAGAGACTCAGTGGAAATTATGTATACCTAGGGAAGATGATTTGTCCCCCAGTTAAAAAGTAGAATGAGAGTTAGAAGCTTATTGAGTCCAATTCTAAAAGTTGTCAAATAACCCAATAGCCACCTATTTTAAGGATCATATCTATAATTTATATGTAAAAGTTATTTACAAAGTTTACATGGTTCACAAGTATTTTGAAACTTTGTATTGGTTTCAACATCTGTTTGAAAAAGTCAGTATCTAACCTCAGAACTAACTAAAAATATAAAGTCATGAACAGGTCAAGTAGATTTAATTTCTGAGTAAATCTGTTGAGTTAGCTTGAACTAACTGAATCATGACACTGACATTGTCAGAGTATTCCTGTAAGAGTGTTCTGGGTGTATGGCTGCAATGTGTCTTGCAATTAAATTGACATATTTCTGGTTTAGTTTGGACTTTGCTTTTTCTTTGACTTTGGAAAATTCTTTGAAAAATGTTTACTTTTCAGATATTTTGTACAGAGAAAAAATGATGCTCTATTCTGAAGGGAATGAAAGACAGAGTATCTAAGATCATACATCTAAGTCTCCACAGTGTGGAAACCCCAGGTATGCATTATTTTAGTAGTTTAACAACTGAGTTGAAATCCTGAACACTCTCTCTTGCAGTATTTGCAACAATTTTCTGCTTTTATTGGAAATCCTATAAGTATTTTTAAAATATCAAAACTGTTTTTCCCCTAAGCCTGATTTTCTGAATTCCCGTGTAAGCAATCATGAACAAAACCTGCTTGAGCTCTGTGCCTGAATCACCCTGGGAGGAGGTGACTTGCAGTGTTTGAGTTGGGCTGGCTCAGAACTCCTCCTGCAGATGCAGGCGCTCAGCGGAAGCAATTGAGGATGGCAGTGGTATCCTGCAGGATGTGTGCGACTGCTCAGCGGGGGCTTGATTTACACAGGGACACATTATAGATTATACATTCTGGTAATTGTGGTATTGTTATTGCTGGGCTGGATCTCAGCACAGGAAGTGCATATAAGCACGTTGGAAGTGATAACATCCACTCCTGTTTAAAAAGCAATATTTTATTCTCATAAAGAATGCAGCGTTTGCAAGGAAAAATAGATAATTTGCTAACTAGTACTTAGCATGGCTTGTAGGGAAAAAGCTGACTCATTATGGGAAGGCCACAACCAACATTTACAAATAAATCTACTTAAACTTTTAATAATTTTTTTTTCAGTATGGACTGTAATCCAAGATCAGGAAGGAGACAATGCATTGCCATCTGAAACACAACAAAGATCAAAATAAGTTTTCAGTGTGCCACCAAAACCACAGTGTTAGGTTTCTGTTAAGGAGAATGAGTAATACCATTCTAGCTGTAAAGGTTGCTGTGACTGGGTAATAATTCCATCTAACTGATAGGGCAGATTATGTATTCTGCAAGAAAATAAATAATCCCAGGCAAAATCTTGCCCTATTTCTTCAGCTCAGTAAGAAAGCCCACCCACCATATCCACTTAGGTGAAGCTTCTCTATGCATACTTGTCCAACTAGGATTCAGGAGCAGGTCTGTTCTCCATCCTACATGCCCAAACCAGCCTTGTTCAGGAACACATTTCCTCCAACCTTGGTGTGGAATGAGGAATCTGTTCCTGCTGCTGCTCCCAGGATGTGGGATGTGGGTTGACCCTCAGCTCTGCAGCTGCAGACAGTGTGTGTCGAGGCCCCTCTCAGAGCCTCTCTCCCCCTTTCTCTTGAAAAGTGTAGGCTTCAGACCTTTCTGGGCACCCAGGGAAATTAGAGCCCCAACCAGGGCTCACCCAAGTTCCCTGCTGGAGGGGGATAGGAATCTGTTCAGAAGAGGAGTGCAATAACCATTTCAAATTTTGTGTGCCAGCCTACTCTCCACAGACAGCACAAATTGACAGAACACAGGTAACATATTGTTCATGCTGTGCCTATTTCTTACTTTGTGTTGCCAGGGAAAATAGATTAAAATGGGTATTAAGTTTCCTTCTTGTTCTTCCAATAATAGAAAATTACCAGAGAAGAGAAAATAAGACAGAGGTTTTGTTCTCCAGAAAAGTCTTCCAGCTAAATGTTGGTTTTTTTTTAATATTATGAAATATTCTTGCCTGCCTTAATAGATGAGAAAAGTAACAGTAGAACTGTGAAACAAATTAATACATCAAAAATATTGAGCCATGGACCATAGGTAAATCTGTATTCATATTTGTGATAGTATTGCAGATGGATAATACAGTGCTGTACTGATGCTGTATTTTTGTTGCAATGACAGCTATGGGTGAGGTTCTAAACAGACACTGCAACATATAACAAAGGACTGACCTACTAACAGATCTAATAATAAAACAGATCTAGTAAAAACATCTAATAAGATGTGACAAGCACATACATAAACTAATCCAAAACCTAATGATTTATTGCACAGTTTCATGAAAAAAACCTTTTTATTGTATTCTGTCTTTATTACTTAACATTAAGAATATATTTTCCTTTATACATTTTAAATGCTACTGGTCTGAAATTTTTGTGCACACAGTCAAACTAACATTGAACAGAAGTAGTTTTTCCAGATGTCATACCTACAAAATTTTGGAATTATAATCCTGCTGATGCCTCCTGATATTAATATGCCTTTGCATTGGGGTAGCCTCATGACAGTCTTTTTTGGAAGTGTCAACTGCTTAAGTAAGATTTGATTTACAAAGTAATGTTAAGATATGTTTAATTTTCATTAAGTTCTTCACTATTTTCCTGAATAGGAATCTCTGTCCCTAGGTTTAATTTGTTTAACTGTTTAACAAAGGAGCAGCTTCAGTCATATTGAGAGGACTTATGCAAGTTTTCACAGCTGATTGTTGGGATGAGAGCTGTGAAAACAAAGATCGGGTGAAGATCCTTTCTTGGAACACACTAGGATATGAGTCTCTATTTTTATTTGTAGTTCATACGTCTATTAAATAGACAATAGTAACTTGAATATATTTATATTTTTGTGTGTCATTGGAGTCAAACAGCACATCTACGTGGCTGCAGTATGTGGGACTCTTCCTGCAGTACATTCAGGTTTTGGCTTTCATTAGGCAGTAAGGCATGTTGCCTGCAAAAATATGACACAACTTGAAAAGGAGACTCTTAATTTCATATGGGAAATTTGTTTCATCCCTCTTTACATGACATCAAAATCACTTTGCCTTTAATCGTGACTACGGAAATTAAAATACCAGGCCACAGGATTTGCAATTAACTTGAGACATCCAGAGGAAATTCTGTGAGTTGCTTTAGTCTCTTTATTCTGCCTTTTCTGAAATCTGTCTGATTTTTTTTTGAGTTTATAAGAGCAATTGTTAGTGGAAATGTCTGTGTTTCCATGGAAGTGCTCTAACAAGCTTTTTGGTCTCACTTGAGCAGTGTAACAGAACACCCAAAACAACTGAGATGTCTTTAGGTCTTAGATATTTGGTTTAAATATTCTATAAAATACTTGAAAAGGTAAGAGTTCCTTAAGCATCTGAAGACAGAGAGTTTAAAGATCAGACTGAGCCATGCCTCCTGCATTTACTTCTCCAATAAATCTGTCAGGACAGTGACCAGCTGGGCTGCCAGATGTACTCCTCCACATTTTGGGTAAGTAATCACTTGGGCCTGGGATCTACTGGACAGGCTGTGCCTGAACCCATTTGCAGTTATTTTAGGTGACATACTAAAGTGGTCAGCATAAGCTTAAAAGACTTTATCCAGCACTTTGACAGCATGCCAGAGGAAATTCCTTGGGATTCAGAGTCTAAGATTTCATTTCAATTAATTGTCAGAATGATGAATATTATTTATTCCACTCTAAGGCTCATTTTAATCTAAAACATGGTCAGATGGTGTCAATGCATAAGAGCCCATCTAGATATAATGCAGTTTGCTCTCCTGTCTCTAGATTTGGTCTGCAAGGATAACAGGAATGGAGACTGCAGCTGGCCTAGGATTCCCTGGCACTTGAGCCTCATAATTAGGCAAGTCTATTTTCCCAGTAAATAAAATTATTAAAAGCAACAGTGTTATGAATTGAAACTCCTCAAAATTGTTAAATTTTGTCCAGTTTGGAAGAGGAGCTTTATCAGACATTGGAGCCCAGTGGGCAGAGTGCTGGGCAGGGATTGAGAAATCTGAGTTCTCTTCCAAACTCTCCTGACTTTTAAATGACCTTGAGCTGTCACTTCTGTGTGCTGCAGTTTCACAGTCTATATGAGCAGGATAATAATCCTCCACAAAGGTTTGAGAGTTGCTGGAGGAAGGATCTGTATGAACACATTTCTTGCACTAGCCTGAGCTAGGTGCAGCTGTGGTTAGAGGTGGCCAGGATTTGGTCAATTCCTCACCTCTTCCAGAAAATCTGGGAAATTTTCATTGTTAGACTCCCTGCTTTCAGTTGTCTGTCAAAACACATTTTCATGTTAAAGGTCTTTCTTATCTTGAGACCATTACAAAATATCTCCAGAAAATTTCATTTTATTTAGTTATGCATTAATACTCACAGTTCATACTCCTGTTACTGGGAACTGCAAAGTGCCTCTCAGAATCATACAAATAATTACTTAACATGGATAATGTATCTTTGACCTAAAAAATAAAAGACTTTTGCAATATTACGATTAGTATATATGGGGGAAAAATATCTTTTGGTTTATGTTGTAAGATATTTCAACTTGCCTTTCGGTTTGAAAAATTCCCCTTGAAAGGACAAAAATTTTTTTCAAATTATATCTTGATTTTACACATTTTGTGTTAATAGACAACAAGCTCTGTGCACAAAAAAGAACAGTCTACTTTCAAAACTGCTGAATGGTTTGACCTCAAGGGAATAGAAACTGTTGACTCATTGTTTTTACTGCATATAATA